CTCGGGCATCCAAATTTCCACATTGAGCATTCAATTCAACTTGGCCACATACTCAATTAATGCCGCAAGATGCTCAATGAACCAATTAATTCGACACAGCCACAACACATAATTGGCACCCGAATTCATGCGATTGAATCAATATACTTACGCGCACTCATGGCCCGCCAAGCATCTCGATTCTTGGTTACATCAAGCACACAACATGGCATCACGTAATCAATTCCAAATCATGCACAATTTAGCCACCACATAGGCAAATCGAGGCACATTTGGCAATTCACAAACGAACCACATATTAGCCGAACGAGGTCCAATTAATCCCGTCATAATCAGCCCTTAAACAGTATACTCTAGGCTACTAATCCACCTCCAAATTATCACATTAGGCCATTAAATCACCACAAAATCAGGCACTAAACAGCCCACACATTGCACCCATTTTAATCCACATAATTGTCCAAACCTAGTCCTCAATGATCGCCCAACAACCAGTCCATTCTAGACCACCAAATCACATTTAAATCATCACACTAAATCACCAAAATAGCCACAAAGTCAGCCCTAATCAATGGCCACTTAATCAACCCCTAAAATACCCTAATTACCCCTAAAACTTGTCTAAAGTGCACATAATCCTAATTAGGGTTTAGGGTTTGTACTCACTAGATTTCCTAAGCTCCAATGAGGCTGAACAAGGTGGTGAGGGCGGCTGAATAGCGGTGGCACCACGCCGGATCAGCGACGACGAACGGTGGTTCCTCGGCGGCGCACGGTGGGCGATGGCGTCTCGGCTGAGCTAGGGGGCAGTGAGGGGGATGATGGTGCTAGTGGTGGGACGGAATGAGAGAGAGAGAGAGACGGTCGGCTGAGGTGGTGGTGCTCCGGCGTGTGGCACCAGCGAACGGCGGCGGTGCTCCGGTGTGGCTATCACGCGGCCAAGGAAGGGAGAATGGGGAGAGAGTGAGGCGTGAGAGAGGGGAGGAGTGGCCAGAGGTGATGGTGAGAAATGAGAGGAGAGAGAGATTGAGGGAGGTTTTAGTGCAAATGGCTTGAGGGGGGTGGTTGAACTAACCCACCAAAAATGACAATCTTGTCCCATCATCAAGGGCTTGGATTGATTCTTGCCAAATTATCTAGGGGCAATTTGGGACCTAGGATTTTCAGCCACTTAGGGGTTGATCAAGCCTAATTAAACCCCAAAAATTCGGAATTAGCACTTAAGGTCCAAGGGCAAAACGGTAATTTTCCGTTCCCGGGCCAAATTTCCAATTTCGACTCTATCGATCCCAAATATGATTGGCCACACTTATACGACGTTATCCTTGCAAAATAGTCGCGTACATCCGTGAAATTCAACACTCAAGTCCGGATTCAATTCCACGATTAATTTCGCTCAAATGCGATTTTAGCATCTCTCACTAACGGGCGACTGTTTAGAGGTTACGCGTATCGACTTAGGATCACTCGAGTCGTGACGGTCTCGATTTACAAGACAACGCGAGGATTTATCGCTAGATCCTGAGGTCACGTTCGTTCGGAATAAGTTCGTGATTGTTCGCCACGCATACTCTCGGTCGTGCGGAATCACCCGCGATCCGATCGTACGTCGTTGACCAAACCAAATCCGTCACTCTCCTTGGATCGGCCCACATTGGCCAAAAATATTTCCTCGCCGTTCCCCGGGATCGGACTAGATTCACGGTCAAGTTCTTGGGTCCACGTACCGTTTTTTCTAGTTAGTCATTCCCTATTGGTCAGTATCCCGAGAATGATTAGTTCCGGGCGAGACTTACTAAAACGAAATGAGAAACAACTATCCATTTCATTGATCACGAAAGTGGGTCGAATTCAAGATGTTACAACTCTTCCCCCCTTACAAAAATTTCGTCCTAGAAATTTACAATCCAAACCTGATTACTCAAATAAATGGGGGTGCTGACGTCACATTACTTCTTCGTTTTCCCAGGTGACACCTTCTGTCCCGTGATGCTCCCAGACAACCTTAACCATCGGGATCATCTTATTCCTCAAAACCTGCTCCTTCCTGTCCTCGATTCGCACTTGTCTCTCCACGTACGACACCCTGTCGTCCACGTCTATTACTTCATGATTCAGCACGTGGGTCGGATCCGGTTCGTACTTCCTTAACATTGACACGTGGAAGACGTTATGAACTTGCGACAAATTCGGTGGCAAGGCGAGACGATAAGCCAACGTTCCAATCCTCTCCAAAATCTCGAACGGGCCTATATACCTTGGACGCAGCTTTCCTTTCTTGCCAAACCGGGACAGTCCTCTCATCGTTGAGATCTTAAGGAATACGTGGTCACCAACTTGAAACTCCAACGGTCTACGCCTTTGGTCAGCATAACTCTTCTAACGGCTCTGAGCTGTCTTTAGCCTTTCCCGGATAGTCTTTACCATTTCCATCGACTGCTGAACCAACTCTGGACCCATTACACTTCTTTCTCCCACTTCATCCCAACACAACGGTGTTCTACACGCTCTGCCATAAAGTGCTTCAAACGGTGCCTTCCCAATACTCTGCTGAAAGCTATTATTGTAGGCAAATTCAACCAAATGCAACTGCTCTTCCCACTTGCCCTGAAAGTCTAATACACATGCTCTCAGCATATCCTCTAGGGTTTGAATAGTCCTCTCAGATTGTCCATCCGTCTGCGGATGATAGGCCGTACTGAACCGCAACTTTGTTCCCATGGCCGATTGTAGACTTTTCTAAAAATTAGCAATAAACCGGGGATCACGGTCCGAAGTGATCGTTACCGGTACTCCATGAAGACGAACTATCTGGCGCACATACAATTCCGCATACATTTTCAACTCAAAGTCCTTTCACACTGTCAGGAAGTGCGCCGACTTAGTTAGTTTATCTACTATCACCCATATCGAATCATGTCCTCTCTGGCTCCTCGGCAATCCCGTGACAAAGTCCATCATGATATGCTCTCATTTCAATTCGGGAATATCCAAAGGTCGCAGAAGTCCTCCAAGCTTACAGTGCTGCACCTTTACTTGCTGACAGGTCAGACATTTTGCCACATGCTTGGCCACATCCGTCTTCATTCCATTCCATCAATAATGTTGTCGAAGGTTCTGGTACATCTTCGTGCTGCCCTGGTGAATACTATAAATGCTCCAATGAGCTTCAGATAAAATCTCTTCCTTAAGCTCCGAATCGTCGGGCACGCATAAACGTCCTCTGACACTTGGAAGTCTGGTTTCCTCTTAGTGCCATCCATCTCCAGAATCTTCTGGATCTCGGGGTCTGTAGGCTGCAATGTCTTAATCTTTGTTCGAATTTCTGGCTCGATCCTCAACGCGGCGAGTAGACTCGACATATGGCTCACTTCAAATTTGAATTCTGAATCTCTGATTCCTTCCAATAACATCCACTCCTTGACCATCATGTGCGCCATACTCGACTTCCGGCTTAGCGCATCCGCCACTCTATTGACCTTCCCAGGGTGATATAAAATGCCGCAGTCGTAGTCCTTGAGGAGTTCCATCCAGCGACGTTGCCTCATATTTAATTCCTTCTGCGAAAACAAATACTTAAGGCTCTGATGGTCCGTGTAGATCATGAACTTTTCCCCGCACAAATAGTGCCTCCACATCTTGAGGGTGAAGATGATTGCAACCAACTCTAAGTCATGTGTCAGGTAATTCATCTCGTGTGGTCTTAACTGACGGGACGCATATGCGACTACCCTTCCGTGTTGCATCAATATGCATCCAAGTCCCCTCAACGAAGCATCACTATAGATCTCAAAACCTCCTGGTCCGGACGGAATGGTTAACACTGGAGCAGTCGTCAGCCTATGCTTCAACTCCTGAAAACTTCTTTCGCACTTATCGTCCCATTCGAACTTCGTCTCCTTTTTGAGCAACCGCGTCAATGGCATGGCTATCGACGAAAACCCTTCTACGAAACGTCTATAATACCCGGCTAATCCCAAGAAACTCCGAATCTCAGTCATTGATATCGGTCTCGGCCACTTAGTCACTGCCTCAATCTTCGTCTGGTCCACAGAGATTCCTTCTCCGGAAATTATGTGCCCAAGGAATGCCACTCGGTTGAGCCAGAACTTGCACTTACTGAACTTGGCGTAGAGCGCGTGTTCTCTCAATGTCCGTAGTACTTCGGTCAGATGTACCTCATGTTCTTCCGGACTCTTCGAGTATACCAAAATGTCATCAATGAAAACTATCACAAACCGGTCCAAAAACTCCTTGAATACCCGATTCATCAAATCCATGAAGGCAGCAGGGGCATTTGTCAATCCAAAAGACATCACTGTGAACTCATAATGCCCATATCTCGTCCTAAAGGCCGTCTTAGGAATATCGTCCTTCCGAATTCTCAGCTGATGATACCCTGTCCGTAGATCGATCTTAGAAAACACTGAGGCTCCTTGCAACTAGTCAAACAGGTCGTCAATCCTCGGCAGTGGGTACTTATTCTTGATGGTCACCTGGTTTAACTGCCGGTAGTCGATACACAACCTCAGAGTTCCATCCCTTTTCCTTACGAACAACACCGGCGCTCCCCATGGAGACGCACTCGGGCAAATGAATCCTTTGTCCAGTAATTCTTGCATCTGAACCTTTAATTCCTTAAGTTCCGACAGGGACATCCGGTACGGTACTTTCGAGATCGGCTCAGTTCCTGGGGCCAACTCTATTACGAATTCCACTTCCCTTTCTGGTGGCAAACCCGGCAATTCCTGCGGAAAGACTTCGGGGAAATTGCACACCACGGGTATATCCTCTAAGTTTGGCTCCATGACCGTCGGATCCACGACGTTTACCAAATATCCTTCGCAACCTTCATCTAGCAACTTGGTCACCTCGAGCGAAGAAATCCAAGGGATTGAGGTTCCTCCTCGGTTTCCTTGAAACTCAAATCTAGGATGTCCAATCGGGTTGAATTGGATCACCCTGCTACTGCAGTCCAATACGGCTTTTTACTTAACCAACTAATCTATTCCAATGATCACATCAAAGTCGAACATGGTCAGATCTGCCAAATCTATCATTTCCTCTCTACCCCCAATAATTAATTTACAGCTAGGACACCCTAACGAGACTAATACCTTATCATTCAGTGGTGTCGTCACATAAAGCATAACCTCAAGCATAACTAGCTCAATTCCAATCAATCTAACAAATTGCTCTGATATAAATGAGTAGGTAGCCCTCGGATCAAACAATGCATACGCAGCATGATCACAGAGAGAAACGGTACCTGTGACCATGCCTGGCGTGTCCTTAGCCTCCCTGCGCACCATCGCATATACCCTTCCTTGCGCTGGCGGTCTACCTTGAACAGCTGGCGGGGGATTCCCGATCTGATTTCCAACCCGGGGCTGCTGTGCTTGCACCGGTGGTCCTGATGGTCGTTGCTGGGGGCAATTCCTTATCCGGTGGTCCAGACTCCCACACTTGAAACACGCCCCAAATCGGTTCTGCTGGTGGTTCGGCTTCCTAATATTCTTTCTGACGAGTGGGACAAATCGTCTGTTTCCCGCCATTAGCTTCTTCCCGAAGCGGCAGTTGTCCCTAGCCGAGGCAAACCGCGATCCAGAAGCAACTGCCCTGTCCACCTGGTCTCGCTCTATAGCCTGCGCTTGCTCGTACATCTCCCCATAGTCCTTAATGTTAAGCGATATCATCTGGCTTCGAAGATCCGGTTTCAGCCCATCCCGGAATCTCCGGACCTTATCCTGAGGGTCCTCGACCATCCTAGGCGCGAACTTCGACAGCCTCGCAAATTTCGCCTCGTATTGGTCCACGGTCATCAATCCTTGGCGAAGCCTCATGAACTCCGCTAACTTCCTCTCTCTGGCACTCTCGGAGAAATACTTCCCATAAAAATTCTCAGTAAATACAGCCCAAGTCTGGGCGGTACCCTCGGGAAATACTCTGCCCTTGATGGCCTTCCACTAGTCGTTGGCATTATCCTACAGCTGATATACCGCTAAAGTCACCCTTTCAACTTCGGTGCATCCCAGGACTTCGAATGCCTTCTCCAATTCTTCGACCCAACGCGGTGCGGCCTCGAGGTCACCCTTTCCGTCGAACTTCGGCGGTTTTAACTTCAAGAACTGTTCGACCAACTTAGACATCGGCTTGATTACATTTGCCGGTCCAGAGCTGGATTCCCATTATCCCCCTGATTCTCGTTATTTCTGTTATTCCCATTAGCCTCATTGACAGCAGCAACGGCGGCCTCAACAGCAGCGACAACAGTGGCATTTCTCTCCTGGGTCTGCCTACCCATCAATATTCCCACTTCCTCGAGTGCCCTCAAAATCCCATCTACCCTGGGGTCCTCTGGAACCCTCACTTGCGGGTCTACACGACCTTGACCACGACCTCGACCTCGACCTCTACCACGACCTCGACCTCTACCTCTTCCTTGGCTACTCATCTCCACAACTCGTATACTCGCCTACCTGCTATAATCCCAATCAGGAATTAGAGACCTAAGCCAGACTACACTAGTCCAAAGTCCCAGGCACAGAATCATCACAGCAATCACACAGCAGGCGGTCAAACACAAGCAGCACAAGTTTTAAGCCAAAGAGAGAAGTGTCCTTACCTCGGGTCCAGCCGCACCTACACTTTAAGGTTCAATCACAACAATTACTCGATCAAGCAAGTCAAACAGTCTGGAGGTACATGTAGCACACAGTCACCCTATTAGCTACCCAGGGTCATCGCTCCTTATCACTCCAGGTTTCGACCGAGTTGGATCGAGCTGACCATGCTCTGATACCAAATCAACGGGGGATGTCACGCCCCCAATCCTACGGCACGCGACAACCCTACCAAGGTCGAATTTAGTGCGACGTCCCAGGATGCGTCGCTGACCCAAAACCCAACACAGAGATCAATGCACATGGGGAAGCAACATCACACCCATACATAATAAAACAACATGACCCAGGGATAGCAATAAATATAATAAATACAACTTACATTAATAACATGGATTTACAATATCCATCATAACAAAATATGCACTAACCAAAAATGGGTCCATGGCCACTAACTTCAAAAAGGGGTAAGTGGCTCGGGCGGTCAGAGTACTAAACCTAGAAAGGACATCTATCAAAAAGTGTCGGCCCTGCCTAACTATGGTCAAGACTAAACCTAGGGCAACCAGTCCGTGTCGGATCCCGAAGACTCGGACGAATCGTCAGACGACTCGGACTCAGAATCCATCGAATTCGGCTCGGACTCGGCCTCCACAGACTCCACCCCGAAATCATCCTCCGGTTCTAGCTCTTGCTCCATAGGCTCCGGCTCTGGCTCGATGTCGGACTCCTAGTCCATTGGCTCCTCTCCCTCGGACTCGGTATCCATCCCGATGATGACTGGCTGGGCGCCGGAATCCTCCTCGGGCGTGGCAACGGGGCTCACAATCTCTCCATCAGCGGCCTGCGGATCCGACTGTCCTAATGCATCGAACTGGACGTCGAAGGTTCTAAGAGGTCAATGAGTGCCGAACTGGTCCCGAAAACACCAAGCGAGATAGGGATGTGCCCGAAAATGTGGCCCGCCCTCGTCGACCCAAACTATATTGTAATACCTAACATAAGACTCCCCGTTCCCTACGAGGTCCTCCGTCACCGATCGCTCTATGCAATACGGGATCCCAAAACGAAGCGGCGCATCTACCATCTTCAGGGTCGGGGGTCTGAAAAGTGGGGTTTAAACAACAATGAGAATAAATCTCAGCGAGTAGGCCTCCTAAACCTAAACTAGGCTAACATGCACCTCCCGGATAAGTATTCCAAACATACAATGCAATATTCGAACGACTTAGGCCCTCGGCCCAAATCAAATATATTCTTGACCCTGTAGGTTAGACACACAAAAATAACAATAATAGTGCAGAACCCAACCATGACATATGCGCAATGTCACTTGGCCACAACGCATGTCATGCACATGCTCATGCTCACACTCATGCTCATGCCCCATCAATGCTCTTTTGCACACTTGCCCACTTGCACACTTGTACTTTTCCATTTATTCACCGACCTGCATAAAACGCATCAGGTCATTTACTTATCGATCGATCTCTGGCCCGCGTAAAACGCATCAGGTCATTTACTCATCGATCGATCTCTGGCCCGCGTAAAACGCATCAGGTTGGCCATCTTCCGATAGTCCGGGCATCGTCCTGCGTAAAACACATCAGGACGGGTTCAATACCCCGCGTAAAACGCATCAGAGCTTTATGTGATCACACATACAAATCCACCGGTTATTATCTGAACCCCGCGTCAAACACATCAGGGCGATTAGGTGATCACATGCTCATGTCATTCGTGCACACTCACATAATGCAAATGTTATGCCAATGCTTATAATGCACAATTCATGACCATAACAATCACACTAGGGCATCCAAATTTCCACATTGAGCATTCAATTCAACTTGGCCACATACTCAATTAATGCCGCAATATGCTCAATGAACCAATTAATTCAACACAGCCACAACACATAATTGGCACCCGAATTCATGCGATTGAATCAATATAATTACGCACACTCATGGCCCGCCAAGCATCTCGATTCTCGGTCACATCAAGCACACAACATGGCATCACGTAATCAATTCCAAATCATGCACAATTTAGCCACCACATAGGCAAATCGAGGCACACTTGGCAATTTACAAACGAACCACAGATTAGCAGAATGAGGTCCAATTAATCCCGTCATAATCAGCCCTTAAACAGTACACTCTAGGCTACTAATCCACCTTCAAATCATCACATTAGGCCATCAAATCACCACAAAATCAGACAGTAAACAGCCCACAAATTGCACCCATTTTAATCAACATAATTGTCTAAACCTAGTCCTCAATGATCGCCCAACAACCAGTCTATTCTAGACCACCAAATCACATTTAAATCATCACACTAAACCACCAAAATAGCCACAAAGTCAGCCTTAATCAATGGCCACTTAATCAACTCCTAAAATACCCTAATTACCCCTAAAACTTATCTAAAGTGCACATAATCTTAATTAGGGTTTAGGGTTTATACTCACTAGGTTTCCTAAGCTCCAATGAGGCTGAACAAGGTGGTGAGGGCGGCTGAACAGCGGCGACACCACGCCGGATCAGCGACAACGAACGGCGGCTCCTCGGCGGCGCACGGCGGTGCACGGCGGGCGGTGGCGTCTCGGCTGAGCTTGGGGGCGACGAAGGGGGATGATGGTGCTGGTGGTGGGACGGAGAGAGAGAGAGAGAGAGAGAGAGAGAGAGAGAGAGAGAGAGAGAGAGAGAGAGAGAGAGAGACGGTCGGCTGAGGTGGTGGTGCTCCGGCATGTGGCACCGACAAATGGCGGCGGTGCTCCGGCGTGGCTCTCACGCGGCCAAGGAAGGGAGAATGGGTAGAGAGTGAGGCGTGAGAGAGGGGGAGGAGTAGCCGGAGGTGATGGTGAGAAATGAGAGGAGAGAGAGATTGAGGGAGGTTTTAGTGCAAATGGCTTGAGTGGGGTGGTTGAACTAACCCACCAAAAATGACAATCTTGTCCCACCATCAAGGGCTTGGATTGATTCTTGCCAAAATATCTAGGGGCAATTTTGGACCTAGGATTTTCAGGCACTTAGGGGGCTGATCAAGCCTAATTAAACCCCAAAAATTCGGAATTAGCACTTAGGGTCCAAGGGCAAAACGGTAATTTTCCGTTCCCAGGCCAAACTTTCAATTTTCGACTCTACCGATCCCAAATATGATTGGCCACACTTATACGACGTTGTCCTTGCAAAATAATCGTGTACGTCCGTGAAATCCGACACTCAAGTTCGGATTCAATTCCACGATTAATTTCGCTCAAATACGATTTTAGTGTCTCTCACTAACGGACGACTGTTTAGCGGTTACGCATATCAACTTAGGATCACTCGAGTCGTGACGGTCTCGATTTCCAAGACAACGCAAGGATTTATCGCTAGTTCCTGAGGTCACGATCGTTCGGAATAAGTTCAGGATTATTCGCCACGAGTACTCTCGGTCGTGCGGAATCACCAGCGATCCGATCGTACGTCGTTGGTGTCGCGACCTCCCCGAACCGGCCCCGCCGCCTAAGGGGTTTGGCTAATGGATTAGTAGGTTAAACCTAACTCGAGCTCTCCCAAGCTCATACCAATTCGCGACTTAAGTTTAAGTTGTTAACATGCAAATCAATTTCATCTAGGAGTCGCCACTAATCGATTTTTGGTGGCTCGATTAGACACCCAAGTAAAGCACGGGAGAAATGCTTTACTTCTACGAACCAGAGATTCAATGGGTACGGGAACTTGATTACACTAATTGACTAATTAGTGCCCTTTCGGTACCTAATCTTGCTCAATTCACCACCTACAGGCTCACACTAATTGGGAGTCTCAAAAATTCATTCCTAACCGAGCTAGGGAAGGCAACAATCACTACATGAACCTAACATGCATAATCAACCACATGCGAGGTTAAATTAAACACACCGTTCAAAGTGCGTGAACCAAGCAACGTGCGATCGAATATGACACTAATCACACAATAGGGCCAGAAAAACCAATTCCAAAGTTGAAATAAATTTTCTGATTTTTCGAAATTTTTTTTAATTAATTTTTTTTATTTTTTTTAAAAAATTTTAAAATATTTTATTAAAATAATATAAAACAGAACAGGTAAGACCTCCACGTCCGACCCGGATAAAATGTTTTTTTTTCAAATAATAATTTTTTTTAAAATTTTCAATATTAAAATAATAAAATAATATAAAATCGGGTCCGGGTCGGATCTCCACATCCGACCTGGACTGAGACTGACCCGGACGCGCCGGCTTAGGTCCACGATCGAACCGGGCTCATATATTGAGCCCGGTCTGAATTTTTTTTAAAAGGCAAGGGCCCAGCCCGAAATTTTTTCATTTTTTAACAAAACAAATGAAGGCCCAAAGCCCACTAGACATAACAAGACCAAAAGAACAATTTAGCCCATTTCCCGAACTCGGCCCATGCGCAAAAGGCCCAAAACCTAATAAAACCCACTCTAATAACTAAAAGGCCCAAAACATTAAAACACCAAATAAGCATAAAATCGGCCCAAATATT